CAGCAGGAAAGTAGAGGTCAGGCCAGGCCTAGAAACTCCTGGGCTGGCTTGGAGATCCATGGAGAAATGATTGATTTTTCAATGGTTACGAGTGACTTGCAAAAATCATAACTATAAAACATGGTTTATAGGACACCCAATTAATTTATTGATTCAAAACCAGGTTTAAGATGGGTTTTATTTCAAACCGATTTGAAAATTGACCTAGTTAAATTTCAGCCGAGATCCGACTAGATGAACTTCAAGGGTTTTTAAAATTTTTACCTAAAATAATGTAACTTCATTAAAAACCAAAACAATATTGTTTGAGATTGAATCGGTTGCATCCAACAAAACCACAATCCGAATCTTCCACTCAGGCTCAAGCGACTGCACTCGCTGTTAGTGGGATGAAAGGCACATGCTACTGCTATAAAGCTGAGCGATGAAGGGAGAATTGTGGAGGTTTTCGAAGACTGTGAAGGAAAAACATTAAGGTTTATCAGTGAAGTGGAGGAGAAGGATGGGAAGCTCTATATTTATTCAGCACTCATGCCTTTTCTTCAGTGCCCAGGAGGCCACCACTGCATCCCAAAATGCACACATCCCTGATTGGCCATTGAAAATATGATGAAGAGCTCCACTGTAGTCAAATCTAATGATTCAATGGCCATCCATTTTTCCTGATGCTGGCACGGTTGCCGTCCCTTCCTTTAAATCCATACTTTAATTCTCTGTATGCTCGGACCCAGTTTGTGGAATTCGACCGCACTGAATTGTCGAATTAATTTCAACATCCTCTAAGAAGATCACAGTGCATGAAGTGGACGAGAGCATACCGATGCATGAGATTCTGGTTTATGATAAATCGAATAAAAATTTATTGTATTTATACTATGTAAAAAAATTTAAATTTTAAAATCTAAAAAAAATAAAAATTAATTTGATTATTAAATTAATTTTATCTAAAAAAATTATATATTTAATTTTATGTGAAGTCAGCTAAGTATTGTTGATAAAGTCAACAATGTTAAGCACCAATTAGTGCTGCAAATTTAACAATGTTGAACACCAATTCGGTGCCACTTGCAGTACTAATTGGTGCCTCTTGTCTTATGTATAAATGCTTGTCTATAAATAGACAAAGTATTTAAAATTTAATGTATACATAAGAGAGAAACAAGAGAGGAAGAGTAGAGTAAGAGAGAGAAATTAATTCCATAAAATTATAAGGTATTTATGAGAGAATAAATGAGGTATTTTTTTCTATTATTAGAAAGATTTCAGTTATTTTCTTATTAGTAGAAAGAGGTTGTAATTCTCATATTAGTTAGTAAAATTCTTATATATTTGCCCGTGAATATAGCCTAATTTGGATAAATCACGTAAATTCTTATGTGTCATTTCTCATTTTATCATGTCCTTTATCTATTATCTTGTCGGATTTGCATGTCAATATCCTAACATCTAATTTTATAGTAAACTGAACTCCTTTTTTTTTTTTTTTAAGATTCTACAAGCCAACATAGAAATCTTTAAATTAGATTTAAAATATGTTGTGTTTACTAGTGTTGTTATTTTCATATTTAATTTTGAATTTTCATATTTAATTTTAAATTTTATTTTATCCAACAAGATTTTAGTTTATTTATTTTTTTCTAATGGTCGAAAAATTATGTTTTTTCTTTAAAAGAAAAATTATTGTTGGGTGTTTTTCTTTTGAAATTTTATCTTTCTTGTTTGATTTGAATTTAGATTCAGTTGGGTCAATGTACAATGTGTTGAATAGATGTTGTTAGTCCTAATATGCATCAACATTGCAATGGATGGACAAATTCAAGTGTGGAGCATCCATGATTTCAACAATTTAATAAATTATTGGCTGTAGACAATGTCATGGAGGATTCAGTGACAAAGAAATCCCCAATTAATTTGATTGCATTTCGATAAGACCTATACTTGTTGATGCATGAAGATGTTTCCACCTATACTCAGAACTCAAGAGTGGCCATTGAATCAAGGTCCAGGTACCGCTGTTCTAGGTGCCGACCTCATAACCTGGTATGGTACCATGTATATTCATTCGGGTTTCATTATATGGATCGGATTAATTTTTTAACTTGAAAAAATATTAAAAATATAAAGAGTTTTTTAGTAGTATTGGTAAATCAAATCATCTTGAAATTTATTAATCAATTTACCATGTGAGATCTAACCCAACATAAATTATTAATTATAAATCCATAAATTAAAATAAATGTTCAATCCTAAATCCCCGTAAATACACGATGTAAGAACTAAATTTTTTTAATGTTCAATCCTAAATCCCCGTAAATACATGATGTAAGAACTAAATTTAAAAAAAAAATCAATAACCATAGGGAAATAGAGGGTTAAAATGAAAATATATATATATATATATATATATCATGGATTATCATTATAATGCACCATGCTAAATGCACTGGACCAAATTATCACTTTTTATATTTGTATTTTTTTATTTAATAATTTGTTTTAATATATAGATTATATTGTGATGCTAAGATATTTTTTTTATACCAACCTGAAATTATTATTTTTTTAATATCATGATAATTATATAAAAAAAAATTAAATAAATTATCAACTATGAATTCTCATAAACAAATCACATAAATACTAAATTGAAAAACAAAATTAATAACCAAAGAAAAAAAATCAAAATAAATAAATAAATAAAATTATAGATTATGAATTATTATTGCCATCCACAATGTTAATGGGTACATGAGAAACAATGTTTTTGCCACTCCTATTAGCTTTATACTTAATAATATTAACTTGAAAACTAAAATGTATAGGGTAAATACCATGCAACTAGCACTATTCACCCCCTAACAAAACACCATGAACGAACGATATTGTTTATTTTGATTTTTAAATTTTTATTATAATTAATTTGATTATAATTTAAGATCAATTGCTTATAATTTCCTAGTTAAAGGTGAAATTGAAAGAATAGAAACTGAAATTAAAAAGACACTAAACATGGATTGCATACCAAAAGTTTTGGAAAATATATACCTAGGTCCTCTAACTTTAAAAATAACATAAATTATATGATTTTAATGTCTTAATTTTTTTCAAATTCAATTGCGGTGTAGAAGTTTGTTTTTGTATTTTTTTAGTTCTTGGTTGAGAGAAGACAAAGAAGTCTTTGGATTTTAGCGGCAATAAGAGAGAAATATAGTTGATACTGATATGAGACATCAAAACAGTCGATATTTGTGTTAAATGGTTCAATAAGATGAGAAGAGTTTATATTAGGTGTTGTCTCACTTTTAAATTTCAGGAAAAAAAATATATTTAAGCTTTGTTTGATTTTGGTTTCAGGTTGATATTATTTTTTGAGATTTTCTTTTAGTTTTTTAGATCGTGAATAAGTTTATCACAGTTTTCAAAGTATATTTTAAGAAAAAAATAGGTTTTTAGGTAATAAAAACTTAGGTTCTAATTTTCCAACCACTTTAATTGTTGGAATATAAACAAATCAAATAACATATCATCTGATTTTTTTTTCAAAAACAATTAGGATGATGACATGTCATTTGTGCCAATTACAAAAAAAAATATAAGGACCTAGCCTAACAAAATGGATGAAATGGGCTGCCCTATTTTTTTAGAACCAACAATGCTTGATTTTTATTTTTTTAATTAATAATTTTTTATTTGAGTTTTTCTTTATTTTTTTATATTTAGATTAATACCTCTTCTCTCTTTCATTATATTTAGTGAGTCTCTTCTAAAAATCGGTTATCATTTTTTTATTATGCATTTAAATTCTGAAGAGTTTTTATAATTTATCTATAACATTTTTTTTTATCTTTTGTATAAATAAACTTTATTTTTTTAAATAAAAAATTACTTTTAGATAATACTTCTAATATATATCATCTTGCATATTGTTTTTTTTCTTTTATTTTTTTAATTAATCTAATTTGTATTTCTATTATCGTTTATTTGAATGAAAAAAATATTTTAATAAATAAATTTAGCTAAAAAAAATTGGTAAATATTTCAGCTTGTGAAATCAACACTTGTCTCTTAATGTTTTTATTTTTATTTTTAGCTATCCCTTATGGTTTTTTTATTTATTTATTTGATTACATGTATATAAAAACTTTTAAATTTTTATTTAAAAAATTTTTAACTACAAAAACATGTTAAAAAACTTATATTATAATTTTTTATTTTAAAAAATAACTTAGCTGCTGCAAAATAAACATAAGTATCTAGAAATATCTGTTGTTATTCATAGCTGCTGCAAAATAAACATAAGTATCTATCTGTTGTTATTCGTGGATGTAATAGAAGGGGTGGCTCACATCTTTAAAAATCGTTGTTCAAATGTCTTTAAATGTAGTTTAGGCCGCTTTATTTTTTAAATCACTGATACTTTCTGAGAACCTAGCGGGCCGACCTGCTATCTAATTGACCTGACGAATAAGGAAAACAAAATTGCTACGGAGCATCATTTCTTTTCCTTTAAAGTTTTAATTAATATGCAATTGATCATGTATTGGTGTATTACACGCGTAAGTCATATCTACCACACAGAGGCGGAAATCACCATGCGACCCTCAATTTTAAAATCTTTCAATTTTCTCGTTAAATTCAAAGTTTTTTTTTTTTAATAGAAGTATTCACTTAGCTCTTAGAGTGTAATTTCTTCTATTTTTTAATTTTATTTTTTTAATTTATTCTCAAGTTTATCCTTAAATTCTTTATACCAAAACCCCTTTCATAAAATTCTAGCTCTGCTTGTAAAGCCGGGAAAAAAAAAGGGATATTTTTCGTGAACATATATAGAAAGAAATTAATACCTAGAAAAAAAAAACATTGATCGATCTTGCATAATTAATTGGGGATAAATAAGGGGTTTCGCACTTTATTAAAGAATTTGAACCACAAATCAAAGATTATATTTTACACCCGCACGCATACAGGTGTTTCCAAACTCCAAGAGAACCGTTAAGTAACCCCCTCATACTCTTATCTATATCTCCTTCCTGATCGATCCTCTCATCTTTTCCCCATGGCCATGAGCTCAAAGCTATTCTTAACAGCAACTATCATAGCTCTTACCTCTTCCTTAATTGCAATTAATCATGAGTTCTTGTATGATCAGCCATCTGTTGTAGAAAAGAATTCTAGTGGTAGGGAATGGGAAGCTCTTCAACTTGAGGGTGCAATCGGGCCTGAAAGTTTTGCATTCGACCCGCTTGCCGGGGGTCCCTACGCCGGAATATCTGACGGTCGAGTCGTCAAGTGGGAAGAACGTGAAAGGCGCTGGATCAATTTTTCCTTCGCTTCTCAAGAGAGGTACCATTTATATAATGCATATCTATATTTTTCCTTTTCAATTTTAAACGGTAAAGGTGTTCTTGCGTCAGCTTTTCAAGTCTATGCTTGCTGTGTTTACGATTATTTCAATGGTTTCTCCCTCTTTTGTGGAGAGATTTAATGGATAATGAAAGAACGAAGGAAGGTGAACGAAAAAGAAAACTAGTGAAGGAGATGATACTATTCCATGCCTGGCTTTGATTTGCTGTCAACTAGCCTTGTTTGAAAATGACGATTTAATGTTTTTTTTCTTTTTTAAAAAAAAAAACTTTAGAACGATTGGATTAGGCCTCACAGCTGTTTTTTTTTTTTGTTATTCCCGAATAGTCGGTAGAAATAGGATATGATTCTTCTTCCACTCCTAGTTAATCACTGAAAAAAATATATTTCTTTATCCTTTTTTGTAAAGATATTGCTTACTGATATTTAGTCTTTGAAAAATAAACTATATTTTTTTTATATTTAAGTAGAAAATAAAATAGAAAATATTTTTTAATATTTGGTTATACTATAAAAAATATCTAAAAAATCACGTAATAATAAATCAATTTTTTTAACCTTATCTAACAAATATAAAACATTAAATATAACTATTCAACATATATCTAGTTTTTTGTATTTGAAACATTGAAAATAAATTTATTTTATATAGCATCCTAATTTCATAACACAATTTTATGATTTAAAAGGTATGGTTGTTATAGTATGATATATTTTGTATTCGAATATATTTGATAGGGATATTATTTAAATTAAAGTATTATATGCACTAGTATTTAAAATTAATACACTTTTATATTTTATATTAATATGTCCTAATATATTATTTCCTATATAAATATATTATTAATTTATTATTTTCTAATAATAATATATTTTTAAATACTTTATTGATGATATTAATAAATTTAGTTCTTAATGGAAAGTATTTTCCAATCTTTTAGACTGAAAAAAAATACTCTTTTCCATCTAAAGTTTAATGTTGTTTTTAGCAAAAAGTGAATTTAATTGACCTGTAACCTAACATGAAAAAATCAAGAAAGTATTTTCTAAAAAAAAACACTTTCCAAAAATAAATACGACGAAAACAGTACAAAACTAAAGTGGCAAGAATAGTTGGTGTGTAAATTAATAAAATTAAATCACGTTGGTATCAATATTATTGTACCTTGTATATTAATTAATCAATACAATTTAAGGTGTATTTAATAATATGGTGTATATATTCTTATAAAATTATGTTTGGATTGAAAAATTAGTTTGGTATTTTAAAAGTTTTTCCAATGATTTTAATATTAAAATTATCTAAAAATATATAAAATGGTATCATTTTAATATCTTTTTAGTATTTTTAAAGTATTTTGAATGATTTTAATATTAAAATTATCTAGAGATATATAAAATAATATGGTTTTAATATCTTTTCAGTTCAAATTCATTTTAACATTAAAATAGAAAAAAGTTTCAATAATTGCATGTATTTTCAAATACACAAACATATATATTGATTTCATATATATATATATATATATATATATATATATATGTAAAAAAATCTTTTTGATAACAGTGAGATTATATATATATTGATTTCTAAAACTCTTTGATCCTTGTTACAATCTTGAACAAAACCTATAGAATCAAGTATATAAAATTGAGGTAATGGATGATATTGAGCTGAAAGAAAAAAATTATTGAAATAATATCAAATTGGTGGTTTAGGACAGAGCTATGTCGACGGCGATGGAAGTCTTAGGAGACAGTGACATCGTTGTGATGCTCCCCAAATTAAATGGGTCACAACTTTTTATCAGCATCTGATCTTTGTGTGCCAGAGACATGCATCTTCACGCATCTTTCATATTAAACTAGTTTATTGACTCATTCTACCGCAAGTCGAAGTAAAAATAAATATATGTGAAAAAAATATAGGCATTCTTAATATATCTTAGAAAAAAATAATTTTTAATCATGAATTTAAAATCATGTGTATATTAAATAATATTTTTATTTAATACTAAAATAGAAACACATTAAATTTATTTATGTTGTATTAATTAAAAACTTGTAGTGATAATCTTAAACAAAAAGATTGTAAAACTAAATTTTTAACTAACTCAATATTAAAAAATAAAATTAATAAAAAAAGCCTTAACTAAAAAGAACATATCAACTCGAATTAATCAACCATAAACTCACGACACAAAGGATGCACACAATCATATTCAATAAGTTTTTTATTTCATAAATTATTTTTTATTTAATAGATTATAACAAAATGCATGATAATTTTTTAAAATTAAATATTAAAAAAAACCATGATTGATGTATAGGACCAGAACAACAAATGTAAATTATTAATAACAAGAGTCAAGTTGTATTTTTTTTTTGTTTCAGGTCAAATAAAAAAATAAATCATTGATAATAAATGATGGAATTTTTTTTTTATATTCAGGGTCACCAAAATATATTGAACTAAAAAAAATAAATAAATTATATATTATAGTTTAATCTATCAAACTTATAATTCAAGTTATATATTTAATTAGATTTTTTTTTATAAAATATATATTTAACCTGAACATAATTAAAAAAAGGCTTACAACCAACCCAACAATGTGGGCTCATGCCTCACTACCCCAGGGTCCCTTCAAGCCCTAGCCAGCGTACTTAGTACATTTAGATTTATATTTTTTTATTATTATAATTTAAATGGATGAATAACCGTTTTAAAAAAAAGAAATAGATAAACAACATGTCATTTTTATTTAATAAATAAAATTTATTAACTTATAATTTAATTATAGTTATAAAATCAAGTTTATGTATTTTTTATTTAATAAACCAATTCTCAACTCATTTTAATCTGAAAAACTCTTTATAAAGATTTTTAAAGAATCAACAAATCAATTCATCAATCTAATAAAAAAAAATTATAAATAATAAAACCAACTTAAATAATTTTTTTTTATTAACTTACATATGACTTTTAAACAATATTGATACTCAGAATAACTACCACGAGACTATCATCATTGAAAAAATAATGTTAACACAGATTTTAACAATTGCCATGGTCAATACAGGTATCAACAATCAATATTTTCTTTCTACATTGAATTTCAATAAATACCTCTCTCTCTCTCCTTCATAAAAAATAATTAAAAAATAAAAAATAAAATTTGATAATAAATTTAAATTTTCCACAATTAAATGGATTGATTAGGTATTCAATAAATTTGAATTTCCAATAATTAAATGAATTGATCAGGTATCAACTAAAACAAATAAGGACCAAACTAATTTTATTTGTTTTTCATGTTAATCCTTTATATGTGATTGATTATTACTTCAGACTCAGAAATGTTCAATTGTGAAAAAAAATCCGAAGACAAAATTTAAATTATAAAAAAGAATTGAGAATAATTTGTGTACAGTGCAAGCTATACTTTGAAATCTCCGCACGGCTTAGTTTTTTTTAATGTCGGAACAGGGACTTATCAACGTTTGAACTTTATACGAGCTGTCCTTTCCGAACCAGATTGAAAACCTTTGATGAAAAAGATTGCTGCAGGACCATGGCCTAGGACCAAAAACTATAGACACCACATTAATGCATGGTGGAACATTAAAATTCCTTCTTTTTTTAACATTAAAATTCCCTTCTTCTTTTTTGCGCTGTTATAATTGCAAATGGAAGATATTTCATGGTTATCACAGTGGCACAGGTCCTGGGTCGGCAGGATAAATCAAGTCTATATTAAAATAATATTAAATTTTTTTTGAAAAATTTGATTAAATCACCTTTTTAAATAGATCAAAAATAAATTCAAAACAAGTTAAAAAAAATATTGGGAGGGAGTAAATGTTCAATTCATGTGAGCTCTGACCATTAACGTCCTCCACCGAATAAATTCTGGTCAGAATACCGTCAGCATCACATAGACTAGTTGCACACACGTGTACAAATAGAATGGACACATGTATGGTGTCGTTTTGTTTGCTCCAAGTTATTAAACCCGGTCTTAAACCGGTCATTAATTCAGCATTGAATAGTTGTTTTTTTCAAAAAAAATATTATTATTATTTTTTTAAAATCAAACATATTTTTGACTGGGTTAACTGGTTGATTTGGCCAAATTAAAATTAATTTTAAAAAAATTCTCATAACAAAATAAATTTAATAATTTTGATTTGCTTAGTTTAGTATTTTGATTATGAATTTTATAAAATTTCTCAAGAGAATAAAAAATATATAATTAAATTTAAATTAACATTGAAATTATTTATTGTGATTTTATTTTCTTCTTCATATATATATCTTTAAGATGAATTTATAAACCACAAAGTAAACTATGATATATAGTTGTGATTTTTCATTTACAAATCAACGTAAATGTGAACTAATAAGAATTTCATCAACAATAAAAAAAGGGGAGTGAGATTATTTTGTTCATTTAAGGTAACAAAATGGATTAAGAGATTTTTATATTTTTTTTCCCTGTGATCTAATGATGTTTATTAAATCTAACATGTTAAATCCCAAACCAAAATTAATAATTAACATGACTGTAGCAGATATTAAAAAATATATATATACAAAACTTGTTATATATTAACTAGCCCGTAAATCTCATGTGTTTAAAAATATGTTTAAGAATGTAGTGTAAATTATATTTTTTAAATTTTAATTTTTTTGTTTAAAATATGTTTAAAAAAAACCCTTGAAAAAAAACATATGAACTCAAATTAATCAATCATGAACTCAAAATACAAAAAATGCACCCAATCATATTCAATAAGTTTTTTATTTCATAGATTATTTTTTATTTAATAGATTATCATAGAATGCACAATAATATTTTAAAATTAAATAATAAAAAAATCATGATTAATGTATAGGACCGGAACAACAAAAGTAAATTATTAAGAAGAAGAGTCAAGTTGTATTTTTTTTGTTTCAGGTTAAATAAAAAAAATTATTGATAATAAATGATAAAATTCTTTTTTTATATTCAGGGTCACCAAAATTGAACTAAAAAAAATAATATATCATATATCATAATTTAACATGTCAAACTTATAATCTATTTCACATAATTAATTAAATCTTATTATTATTTTTATAAATATATATTTAACCTACACATAATAATAATAAAAAAAAGACCCTACAACCAACCCGACAATGTGGGCTCATGCCTCAATACTCTAGGTCCCTTCAAGCTCTAGCCGATACACATAGACTTGTCGTTGCTTTTTTTATGATTTAAATAGATGAATGATCTTTTTTTAAAAAAAAAATAGATAGATAACATTTTATTCACGGTAGTAAATGTAATAAATGAAGTTTGTTAACCCATAATTTGATTACTATTATGATAGTTATAAAATCAAGCTTATGTATTTTTTACTTAATAAATCAATTTTTAACTTATTTTAACGAAAAACTCCTTTTAAAAATCAACAAACCAATTCATCAATGTAATAAATCAAAAAAAAAATTCTAAATAATAAAATCAATTCAAATAATTTTTTTGATTAACTTATATATAACTTTTAAACAATTTTAATACTCAAAATAACCACCACAAGACTATCATCATTGAAAAAATCATGTTAACACTAATTTTAACAATTGTGATGGTCAATATAGGTATCAACAGTATTTTCTTTCTATATTGAATTTCAATAAATACCTCTCTCTCTCTCTCCTTCATAAAAAATAATTAAAAAAAAAATTGACAATAAATTTGAATTTCCAATAATTAAATGAATTGATCAGGTATCAACTAAAACAAATAAGGACCAAACTAATTTTATTTGTTTTTCATGTTAATCCTTTATATGAGATTGATTATTACTTCAGACTCAGAAATGTTCAATTGTGAAAAAAAATCCGAAGACAAAATTTAAATTATAAAAAAGAATTGAGAATAATTTGTGTACAGTGCAAGCTATACTTTGAAATCCACACGGCTTAGGTTTTTTTAATGTCGGAAATCAACGTTTGAACTTTATACGAGCTGTCCTTTCCGAACCAGATTGAAAACCTTTGATGAAAAAGATTGCTGCAGGACCATGGCCTAGGACCAAAAACTATGGACACCACGTTAATGCATGGTGGAACATTAAAATTCCCTTCTTCTTTTTTGCGCTGTTATAATTGCAAATGGAAGATATTTCATGGTTATCACAGTGGCACAGGTCCTGGGTCGGCAGGATAAATCAAGTCTATATTAAAATAATATTAAATTTTTTTTGAAAAATTTGATTAAATCACCTTTTTAAATAGATCAAAAATAAATTAAAAACAAGTGAAAAAAAAAATATCGAGAGGGAGTAAATATCCAATTCATGTGAGCTCTGACCATTAACGTCCTCCACCGAATAAATTCTGGTCAGAATACCGTCAGCATCACATAGACTAGTTGCACACACGTGTACAAATAGAATGGACACATGTATGGTGTCGTTTTGTTTGCTCCAAGTTATTAAACCCGGTCTTAAACCGGTCATTAATTCAGCATTGAATAGTTTTCTCTTTAAAAAAAAATTATTTCAAAAAAAATTAAACCAAACATATTTTTGACTGCGTTAACTTACTTGGGTGGTCAAATTAAGATTATTTTTTTAAAAATTCTCATAACAAAATAAATTTAATAATTTTGATTTGCTTAGTTTAGTATTTTGATTATGGATTTTATAAAATTTCTCAGTTGATAAGTAGAGAATTAAAAAATATATATTTAAATTTAAATTAACATTGAAATTATTTCTTGTAATTCTATTTTTATCTTTATATAGACACACACATATATATCTTTAAGATGAATTTATAAACCACAAAGTAAATATAGCTGTGATTTTTCATTTACAAATGAACGTAAATGTGAACTAATAAGAATTTCTTCAACAATAATAAAAGGGGAGTGAGATTATTTTGTTCATTTAAGGTAACAAAATGGATTAAGATATTTTCATGTTTTTTTTCTATAATCTAATGATGTTTATTAAATCTAACATGTTAAATTTCAAATCAAAATTAATAATTAACATGATTGTAGCAGATATTAAAAAATATACATATAAAAAACGTGATTGGCTAGTTTAATTGATAAAAAATCCAAAATAAACTTATTATATATTAATTATCCTATAAATCTCATGAGTTTAAAAATATATTTGAGAATGTAGTGTAAATTATATTTTTTAAATTTTAATTTTTTTGTGTAAAATATTTTTTGTTATGTTTTTATTTTGTTTTAATTTATTAATATTAAAAATAAATTTTTAAAAAATAAAAAAAAAATATTTTTAATTATCACCACCCCCACACATACGCGGTTCATGAACCTGGCCGATCCTTGTAACTATACCACCGGCAAATAATAAAGCGAACACACACTTTTAGCTGTTTGTGCGCAAAAACACAACAAAAAACAATTTCAAATGTATATAAATTCTTCTCTCTTTAACAACGACAAAAGCTCCTCCTTTCCCATCACTATGGCTTCCAAACTCTTGTTCACGGCCATAACTCTTCTTCTCTCCACCTTAGCCATTGTTATTTTTTCCTCTGAAACATCCAATATAGAAGTACCTCTTTCCAGTGCCAGAGCTAGACAGCTCAAAGAGGTTCCGATTGTGGGTGCTTTTGGGCCTGAAAGCTTTGCATTTGATTCGCTTGGTCAGGGTCCCTACACCAGTTTATCGGATGGCAGGATAATCAAATGGCAAGGAAATAGAAAGGGATGGACAGATTTTGCTGTGGCTTCTCCAAATAGGTATGCATGTAAGCAACAGCCTTTTGCTCACGATGGTATAAGTTTAAGAAGTTCATGGCTAGATGTTTTCTAGGCTAGAAACTCACGTCGTAGTTATCACTCATCAGCATCAAGATTAACACGTTGAAGATCTAAGCTAATTCCTGCAATTGTCTTGTTTGTTGAGCCTGATCTTCTTTTTTTCATGTTTTGTGGTGGTTGGGGAGGACACAAACAGTTAGGTGATTGTCCTTACCTTATCTTTTCATGTTTTCCTTAAAGAAGGGTAGATATGGTCATCATTGGCACCATATTTTATAACCTGATCGGGTAGTCGACGAGGATGGTTCAGGGCTAATCCAAGTTAATTGTTTAAAAAAAAATTAAAATATTTTATTCTAACAAAAAAAATTGTTTTTTCTGAGTTTTACTAAATCAAGCTACTAGTTAATCAGGTTTTTTTTAACTGAAATTTATTTAGATTTTATATTCCTGCCAAAACGAGTTAAACAACAATTGAAAGTCGTTGCTGTCCCAAATTGTTGAAGAAATGGAATAATAATGATTTAACAAAATCCAATTGCAAATGGAATTGCATTTGTGACAATTCCTATATTAAATGGAACGGTTTCTTATTTATTTTAATGGGATTTTTGTAGAGACCAAATTATATAAAATAAAATAAAATAATTTCTTATTTTAATGGGATTTTTGCATGGACTAAATTTAACATGTTAAGATTGACAACGCCGGCAGAGACGGCTGTGGAGGGCCACAAGATCACCAACAGACGGAGCACATTTGCGGGCGTCCATTGGGTTTATGCTTCGACGAAACACACGGTGATCTATACATTGCTGATGCTTACATGGGATTACTTAGAGTGGGGGCACAAGGTGGCTTGGCCACCAAGATCGTGACACATGCACAAGGAATTCCCTTGAGTTTCACTAATGGTTTGGACATAGACCAATCCAATGGTGCCATTTATTTTACCGATAGTAGCTCACAGTATCAAAGAAGGTACGTGAACCACTCTATCTTTTCTGATTTATTAAATAATAATGTTATAATCGTTTATAGGAAAGATATCACATTTTAAAAATTATTTTTAATATTAATATATCAAAATAATTTAAAAATATTAAAAATATATTAATTTAAAATTAAAAAAAATATTTTTTTAAACTATTTTTAAAACATAAAAACAAATAGATACCTAAGGTGAAATTTTTATATCAGATTTTTTTTTGATAATTTATAGATGAGAACTAAGTGTGAAAAATTGTGATAATTTGAAAATAAAAATAGATTTGATTCCAATCGAAGATTTGTGAGGAGTAGGGGGGCGAAATTGAGGCTATCCAAATACAAAGACCGATGGGACAAATCTTCAAGTGGCGGGGATGAATTTGCTTTAAGCCACAAACTAGCTGGTTTGCAGCAAAAAATTGTTTTTTTTACATAATTAAAATAAAATATTTATGATAAATAAAACAATTCAAAAGGAGAGGAGAAAATGATTCGTATAGTAAAAGATTCTATTTTTATTCATGTATTTCATAATTAAAATAAATATTAATAAAAATGAAAACAATTCAAAAGAAAACGACAATATTTATTCATAGAGTATAAAATTATATTTTTTATTCACGCATTTCATTTTCGTTTTGATAAAAATAACTTCTTTAATATTAGCTTTTTTTAGAAAAAAATAAATCAGATTAAATAGTTTTAAGTATTTTAATAATATAAATTGAGAAAAAAAATTCATTCTTTTAGTAAAAAATCGAATTATTTATTCAATTATTTTTTTAATTTTTTTTTAAATTTCATTATAATCTATAAATAACTAAATTGAAATTTTTATATCAGATTTTTTTTTTTTTTGATAATTTGTAGATGAGAACTAAGTGTGAAAATTTGTGAGGAGTAGGGGGGCGAAATTGAGGCTATCCAAATACAAAGACCGCTGGGACAAATCTTCAAGTGGCCGGGATGGATTTGCTTTAAGCCACAAACTAGCTGGTTTGCAGCAAAATTTTGTTTTTTAAAAAAAAAACAATTAAAATAAAATATTTATGATAAATGAAACAATTCAAAAGGAGAGGGAAAAAATGTATTCGTATAGTAAAAGATTCTATTTTTATTCATGTATTTCATAATTAAAATAAATATTAATAAAAATGAAAACAATTCAAAAGAAAACGACAATATTTATTCATAGAGTATAAAATTATATTTTTTATTCACGCATTTCATTTTCGTTTTGATAAAAATAACTTCTTTAATAGTAGCTTTTTTTAGAAAAAAATAAATTAGATTAAATATTTTTAAGGATTTTAATAATATAAATTGAGAAACAAATATGCATTCTTTTAGTAAAAAATCGTATTATTTATTCAATTATTTTTTTAAATTTCATTATAATCTATAAAACAATTTTTTTTAAAAAAAAAACACATGTTTATAATTTTACCCTAACTATATAAAAAAAATAATGTGAGGCCAGCCCCGCCTTTTAAAAAACAGGTGCTAATGGGTCTGTATAGCCAGGCCCACCTAACTGAACCACTTAAAAAAAACTCTGGCACATTCTAGAAAGGCCAGACGGGTGCACCTAAGCTCATTTTTTGGTTTTCTTGCATGGCATGCCCCTTCATTTGAATATGCAAAGCAATAAATGCAACTGAAATATTATTAATTGGACAAATTTTGAACGGTTCTCTGGGCAGCCTTAACCTGCACATATGTTCTTATAAATGTTTATAACATCCTGAATGATGGATGCAATCTTGCAGGCATTATCTCTCAGTGGTATTGAGTGGGGATAAATCAGGAAGACTAATGAAATATGATCCAGTAAACAAACAAGTGAGCGTTCTTCTCAGCAACCTCACGTTTCCAAATGGAGTAGCTCTTAGCAAAGATGGCACCTTCATTTTATTAGCGGAGACCACCAGATGTAGAATTTTAAGGTATTGGATAAAAACGTCGAAAGCTGGAACTGTCGAAGTCTTTGCTCAACTACAGGGTTTCCCGGATAACATAAAAAGGAGCCCTAGAGGAGGATACTGGGTTGGTTTAAATTCAAGGAGAGAGAAGCTGTCTGAGTTGTTATTTTCATATCCATGGATAGGGAATGTTCTGCTTAAGCTTCCACTCGACATATCGATGCTCGAATCAACTCTGTCCAAGTATAGAGGGAGTGGCTTGGCAGTGAGGTTGAGTGAGAATGGTGACATACTGGAAGTGTTCGAAGACGAGGACGGAAATAGGTTGCAGTCTGTAAGTGAGGTCATGGAGAAAGATGAGATATTGTGGATAGGGTCAATAGCTTTACCTTTCGCTGGAAGGTATAGGATATGAACACGCAACTATATATTAGTGTGGATATTTTTCATGAAACAATTAAGAATTACATGCAAAGTTTTTTTCTTCTTCTTATATTTAGGCAATATAAGTATGTACGTATATGGTTTTTCATCATCATTCGCACATATATATGAGAAGAAATTAAGGCCGAGCTCCGGTTAGAAAAGTTGGGAAAACATAATGGGTTCTTAGAGCATGATTGAAGGAGGATTAGTTGTCGAAATGGCAATGAATTGTTTAAAAATCTTATGTGGATTACAGGTGATCGAGCACTTATCAGGGCCATATAAACTTCCTGGTGGAAACTGACTGGTGTAAAAATAAAAAACATCAATGGAAAAAGTCTCCTTGACCTCTTATGCATACATAGCTCTGTCAGCAGTTCCACAAAAGAAAGCTTTTGATATGCGAAATTCTCATCAGAAAAGGTGTCCATTTTTCGTCTATCATTAAACTAGGTATGCCATACCGCAGAACTTCATATTTTCGATTGTTTTTTTCTGAAAAAAATTTGATTTTTTAATTTTAAATTATTATTATATATATATGTGTGTATCATTTTGATATAAATATATTAAAATAAATTTTAGAAAATAATTTGTATCATACTTTCAAATATCCAAACAGGCATTCATTTCACTCCTTGACTCATGCTAGGCCACGAATAATTTCAAGGGAAGTAGTCTTTTTTCTTAATTAAAAAAAAAAACAGCTTTAATCTTGCCTTTTTGAAGTGCGGGGCCAAAAAAACTATGCCCCATAAAGAAACACAAGAAGAAAAATCGTCTAGAAAATTAATCAAAGCCTGTGTGAAATTGTATAGAGTATGGAACGGTGAGTATTCTTGAAATGTTGGAAAATATTTTCATATATATTGCATGAGTTGTTCAAGAAAGAAAGAAAAGTTTCAAATCATCCGCTCGAGATTTATTTAATAAAAAATAAAAATTCAAGAATATAGAATGAAATGCATGTCTAGGCTGCTTTGTTTAAAAAACAAAAAAAATATTTTAAAAAATAATGTTGGTTAAAAAACAAAAAAATATTTTAAAAAATAATTAACAATATATTTTAAAAAAATAATAATAAACGAAGACATTTTGACTGCAATGTACAAAAAGTCACATAAGCAAGTCTTATCGTGAAAGAACTATACCAAAATAATAAAAAACTGAGTTGATGCTTGATACCATCACCATCGCTCTTCACTCTGTCAAATCGCAACTACTAATTCTTTCTCTAATTTTTTTTTTTACATAAACTTATATATAGAGATGATAATACCAAAATAAAAAAGATTTGGTTGGTCTCAACCCAACCTAACCATCTCAAGCTAGCAACCGAGCTATAATGTAACTTGGTTGGGTCAATTTGTAGCCCCAGTAAAATTATTATATTTTCTGCCTCTTTCATTTCTCTTCTTTTTTTTATTGTCTCTGTCAAATCATTTATATTTCTTAGCTACGATTGTACATGTTGAGTTACACAAGCTATAACTTCAGCTATAACTACTACCTTTCATGTTGAGTTACTCACAGTGCAAGCTAAATGGGACATGATCAAGCTACCATAAGACATGAATGAGTTAAGAAATAAAACTATTATCTTTTACAGTGAGCTGTTCTCGATTTTTTTCAAGATAGATTGTATATTTTCAAAAGTTCTCATCTCAACAAGATCAAAAAACACTTTGGTTATCTCTCCATCTGCTTCTCTTACATTATATTTTCTTGAAAAAGCTTTAAACTGATTTTAGCATCGAAAAGTTATTTTGCAAGCAACACTCACCGCCTAGACCATCACTATCCATGAAGAAAGCCCAGGTATAGTGAAGTTTTTTTAGCTTCATCAAAAAAGATCTCATACATTTTGATGTGATTTTAGGTGATTGTATGTATTTATGTATGGTTCAAATTTTTTATTTTTTTATTTTGAATTTGAAATAATAACATATAAATCAAATTTATCTGTCAAGTGGAGCAAAGTTTAAACTCCAATGGATTCATCTAGTGATTAAGGAGGTTTGTTTCCTTCATTGATTTTTTTCAAATTAAATTGTAAGGCTAGAGAGATTTATTTTAATTTATTTAAATGTACTAAATTGTTACAAGAGATTTGTGTTTATAATTATTTTAAAAAATCTTAATCTTAATTAATACATGAATTCAGTAATATCTTTACGTTGAATAAAAAATAAAAGAGCCCACATCATTAAGGTTGAGCTACACCTCCGCGCAACCTGTTTTCAACCACCACTGATTCTGCTGTTTATGTGTTGCTCGATGCCTGGTTCCGTCATCCACTCTGAAGACCGACTTCATCAATCATGGGAGCTGTCAAGATCATAAACACAAAGATGTGGTCTAGAATCCAACATATCCTTCTTACAGTCAAGCTAGCCCGCCCACCCATCACTGTATGGTCCCTTGACAGGCATCGATTTCAAGGTTGTGGGCTCGCTCTCGGCTCTTGATACAGTCCTGGTGTTTAACTTCATGTCAAAACCCAATCTTGAACATGGCCTTTTGTGGTCGAAAATGGGTCCTCCATCGGATTGTTGCTTTTCCTTCGAAAACTATATATCCACCAACTGAGAACCTGTGGTTTGCGCTTCAAGCTGCCCTCGTGTGGCTGACAACGCCCTGCATAAATGGTCACTTGGAGGTGTAATTTTGATTTTACCTACCGTTTGTGAGCACAGATTTCAGTGTTTTAAGGCAGAGAAGAGAGAAGAAAGAAGTGAATCTTATTCACTTGGAGGTGTAATAAGATTCACATTATCAAAATGAACTAACTGGGTTGATGTAAGGCAGAGAAGAAAGAAGGAATGGTGCAAATTCTTGAATTATTTTTTCTTAATGGTTAACGTTATTCTTAGACAATGTTTTAGATTACCCGCTGTGAAATTTCAATCTCAAAATATTTAAGAGTGTGTTCGGTAACGGTGGAAATCGTATTCTTTTAAAATTTATTTATTTATGCATAAAATATATATTTTTAATATTTTTAAAATGTTTTCATATGTTAATTTTAAAAATAATTTTTTAAAATAAAAAATTTTATTTTAATATATTTTCAAATAAAAAAAACTTTAAATCATTACCACTGCTATAATTCAAACACATCATAAAAAAATTGAGGCCGTACCCCACTTAGCCTCGACTTTAATAATATATTGTTTGTTTATGTGGTAAAAATATAATTTTTTAAAAATTTATATTTTTTAATTTAAAATTATTTTTTATTATTTAAAATTATTTTGATGTACTAATATTAAAATAAATTTAAAAAAATTATTTTAATTAATAATAAATTTTAATCCTCAATCTTAATATATAATGAAATTTATCTTCATTTCGTTTTTACCTTTTTCTAAGCTCGAGAAGACTAATCAAACTCCTTGAATTATTTTTTATGCATGATAAGTTAAATCAGTTTCCCGGGTGAGTTTTTGAAAAATAATTTATTTATTAATAGATATATTGATGGATTGTTTTTCCTAATCTCTCCTTGGATTTGAAATTGAGATGGTGATGTGGAAGTCAAGCAGATGACCAATTATTTAATAAATAATGTAAAACATTTCTCCTTTAATGAGAATAACTCAGAACACTTCCACTACCTTGGGAGGCATGTCCATAGCGACAAGACCAGCGTTATGTCTACGTTAACAGTTCCATGACGTGTTTAAGGAATTACAGCGAAATTTACAAGAAAGGGTTCCTGTACTTTTCTTTTTGAGAATTTCCTACGTTTTGTAAATTCCCTGTCGCTTTTTGCTCCAATAATTTTATCTGTATTTCCACCTATATATTTAATTTTTAAAAAAATATATAAAAATTTGTTAAATGTTTACAAATATTAACAAATATATTTTTATTTTACTTGCAGGGTTGTGTTGAAAAATATTTTAAACAAATATATAAAATTAGAAAAGTTGGGAAAACATAATGGGTTCTTAGGGCATGATTGGAGGAGGATTAGTTGTGGAAATGGCAACGAATTGTTTAAAAATCCTATGTGGACTACAGGTGATCGATCACTTATCAGGGCCATAAACTCTTCTTGGTGGAAACTGACCGATGTAAAATTAAAAATATCGATGGAAAAAGACTCCATACTAGGCAACGAATAATTTCAAGGGAAGTAGTCTTTATTTATTTATTTATATATATATATAAAGCAGCTTTAATGTTGCCTTTTTGAAGTGCGGAGAAAAAAACTATGCCCCATAAAAAACCAAGAAGAAAAATGGTCTAGAAAATTAATCTAAGCCTGTGTGAAATTGTATGGAGTATGGAACGGTGAGTATTCTTGAAATATTGGAAAATATTTTCATATTTATTGCATTTAAGTTGTTCAAGAAAGAAAGAAAGAAAGAAAAGTTTCAAATTATCCGACCGAGATTTATTTAATAAAAGAAATAAAAATTCAAGAACATAGAATGAAATGCATGTCTAGGCTGCTATTCAACTTGTTTTTTATGATTTATTTTAAATTATTTTTTTAATATTTTGAATTGTTTTGATACAGTGAAGTTAAAAATAAAATTTAAAAAATAAAAATTATTTTAATGTATTTCTATAAAAAATAAAAAATAATCATTAATATATTAAAAATAAAAAAACTAAAGAGACTTTGATTGCTATGTACAAAAAGTCACATAAGCAAGTAGTCGTGAAAGGGGATGGATCGGCTGCAGAGACCAATTTGTCAGCAGTGTCCTTCCATAGTTCCGTGTTCTATCCAACCTACTTGATTTACATTCGTTACAACAACACTCGAAGATGACCTCTGAGTATAGATAATTTATTTAAGATACAGTTAGAATGAAATTTAATTTCAAGACATGGAAATTGGTTTGCAGATATACATATGTATTCTTGAATTTTGAAAAAAAAAAACAAAACCCACAATTATTTCAAAGAAAAGATGAGTCAAAAATAAATTCCCCCAGTCATTTTCCATTATACTTGCATACATGTAAGACCGGTAGTAAACTATTAACAACAACAACAATAATAAAAAAGTTTAAACTCCAATGGATTGATTTGGTGATTTAGTGAATTTATTTATTTACTTATTTTAATTTTGAATCTAAAATAATAACATACAAGCTAAATTTATCTATTAATTTTGAATCTAGAATAA